GGGACCTTATATTTAAAAAAAAGGCACAGGCAAGTGGGACAAATGTGTTTTAATTTCTTAATCATTATGAATAAGGAAAGTTTGTTAACTTTACCGTCTGCGAATGAAAATGTCTCACATCAAAAACAGGAGAATTTCCCAAACAGAATAACTGTTGTTAACTCTCAGATATACTTAACAATATGGTATTCCATGAGCCTGTGTTGGATATGAGATGGTTATAGATAGCCAAATAAGGGTGCGTAGTGCTGAGTTGGCTAAAACTATTTCATATCCAACAAACACAAGTAGTTTAATTGTTTTATGAAAAACATCCAAAGAATTGCAATATTTGAGCTCCCTGGCTGTTCTCATTGACATGTACACAGTCTACCATACTAATGTAGGCCATGGTATATTAGTTCATATACCATTGTCTGTTAACCAATCAAAATTCAGGAACTGCAATATACCATTGCTAATAAGTTTTTAATAAAGGTGTAAATACACTGTACCATTCTTAAGATATGATAGCATTTTAAAAAGTGTGATATCAATCAAAATTATTGTCATTTTCAGGAAATGTTTGCAACATCAGTTAAAGGCATCTATGATTGATTTGATGCCTTAGACAATGCAATTTTAGCCTTATCTGAAAAACAAAATGCAAATGAGAAAAAGTTGGAGGAGATAGCAAGTAAAGTTTCTGGAAAAAAGATAATTAGGTTTGATCAATTCTTTTAAAATGCCACCCTATTAGCATGTAAGTAAAATCATTTTCCTTTACTGCAATAATGATGCAGAAATTTTTCTTTCTATTTTTTAAGGTTTCCAGGCCTCTCAACTTAGTGGTGAGCCATTCACCCATAAGTACTGCAACACCCATCACTGTACAGGAAACCCCCAAGAAGGAGCAGGAGCAGGAGAAGGTGGAAAGTTCTGCAAAGCCGAACACTGATCCACAATCACAGGCTGCATCTGGATCAACAGAAAGCTCTGGTTTGTGTTCCCCTAACCTTGAATTGGGGTGTTTTTCTGACCATTTAAAACTAACAAGTCATTTTATAATTTTTTTTGTTGGAAAGCGAATGGAACTTAATGACAGTATTTTGCTTTTTCAAAAATATCTTCAAAAATTGACTGGAAAATTCTGTAGCATCATTGACCATTTCTCCTGCTTTCAAGTCTCCTACATGTATATAGAGAAAAGAATCTCCATCTATATTTAGGTCAGTTTTATTCTGTTGATTTGACTGATTTGGGGAAATACTTAAATTTCCTTTATATTTTTCCAATTGATATCCAACCAATCTATTCCTGCAATTGTATGCTAAACACCCCTGTAAACTTATTATTTAAAGAATTAATGATGATTTTTATAGTTATGAATATCTCACATTTATTACTGGGGTGATGACAGATTTAACATAAATATTATGAGATAAAATGTAATAAATAACCTGCAAGAAAAATTCATTGTGTACTTTTATGAGATCCTGTTACATGTAATTGTGACTAATTAGCTCTAACTGGCCAATTGTTTTACTTTAGTCATTTAGGGTATATTGGGCACAGGAAGTTTGGAGTGCTGGCCTCTCCAGAGGTCATTAGGAGGGCAGAGGAGCAGGCTAGGGGTGTCCCAAAATCCCTAGCCTTTAATC